ATATATATATATATATTTTTTCTCTCTCTCTCTCTCTCTCTCTCTCTCTCTCTCTCTCTCTCTCTCTCTCTCTCTCTCTCTCTCTCTCGAATTAAATTCTTCATCGATAGATTAATTTTATTATCTATTGTGTCACCAGGGAAGGAAACGATCCGGAAGATTATTCGCGACTGACGTATAGAAAGTTGCTCGAGGAGACGTGCAGGTTTGCGAATGTTCTCAAGTCGAAGGGTGTCTCCGTGGGGGACAAGGTGGTGATTTATATGCCGATGGTCTTGGAGCTACCGATCGCCATGCTGGCTTGTACGAGGATAGGGGCGGTTCACAGTGTGGTGGTAAGTAAATGAAATGCCGATATAGTATAAATACCGCGTATAAATGCCAATGCGATGGATAAAAAGATAGGAGGCAGGAGGAGAAAGATATAGACAACATATAATATGTATACGCGATTATAGTTCGCAGGATATTCGTCTGATTCATTGGCGGAACGTATCCTCGATTCCAAGGCCAAAGTTCTGATCACTGCAGACGGCGTGTGGAGAGGTGAGAAATTGCTTCTGTTGAAAAATATCTGCGACGAAGCTGCGGATAAAGTTAAGAAGCATGACCATCAACTCGAAAGCTGCATCGTCGTCGCGCATCTGAGAAGACTCAACAATCCTCAGGGTAAGAAGGGAGTGAACGGCACTAGTAACGGTACGGTCGTGGATATGGCCAACATTTCCTGGGACGACGATCGGGATGTTTGGTGGCACGACGAGATGGAGGACGCGGAAGCGAGCTGTTATCCAGTTTGGATGGCCGCCGAGGATCCACTTTTTATCCTTTACACAAGGTACACGTTCTTTTCCGTCGCGTGCTCTCTACCTCTACGTCGAGGCCAAATAGAAAGTAAAGTAAACGGTAAAGCTATAGCGAGATAGCGCTTTTCTTCGCAGTTTTTCGCAGCTTTCCTATAGTTTGTTCTCGCTGAAAAATGACTATTATTTCCTTTCTGTTCACGTAGCGGCTCTACTGGCAAACCAAAGGGCGTTCTCCACACCACCGCGGGATATTTAATCTACGCGGCAACAACTTTCAAATATGTTTTCGACTATCATCCCGGTGACGTTTATTGGTGTACCGCCGATTGTGGTTGGATCACAGGACATACTTATGTAGTTTACGGCCCGTTAGCGAATGGCGCAACATCCGTCATAGTATGTATATGCATTTCTCTCACTCGATCATTCTCGGTCGTTCGCTCGGCTTTCTCCCTCGGTAAACTGCACTTGTTTGGTTGACAGTTCGAGGGTACACCTTTCTATCCGGAAAATGATCGATATTGGTCCATCATCGATAAGTACAAGGTCACGCAATTTTACACGGCGCCGACGGCCATCAGGTCGTTAATGAAGTTTGGTGATGAACTTGTGAAGAGGCACAGCTTATCCACGCTCAAAGTAAATCTCGTTTCGCTTATCCATTAATCGAAAAAAATAATAATAATAAAAGAAAAAAATGTATGCTTACAACATACAGAGAGTGTTGTCATGTATATGTACGCGTTTCAGGTTCTCGGTTCAGTCGGCGAACCGATCAATACCGAGGCTTGGCTCTGGTTTTATAATCTCGTTGGCCACGGCAAGTGCAGTATAGCGGACACTTTTTGGCAAACGGAAACTGGCGGTCATGTAATTACACCGCTGCCAGGTGCCACGCCTATGAAACCGGGTTCCGCGGTAAAGGACACTTTCGTTAATAATTCCCACCGTAAATAAATAATTTATTTCTGATGTATGGAATGAACGAATGTGTAGACATTTCCTTTCTTCGGGGTTTTGCCGGAGCTTCTTGACGAGGATGGTCGCGTGATTGAGGGCGAAGGAGAGGGGTACCTCGTATTCCGTCGACCGTGGCCAGGGATGATGCGGACCCTCTACGGAAATCATCAACGTTTTCAAAATACGTACTTTGATCGATTTAATGGATTTTACTGTACGGGAGACGGTAAGCGTATTATCTGATCTTTCTGCCTATTTTCCTCATTGTTTCATATATATTTCAGTTGCGGGCAGTAGCACCCGCAAGATTATTTCGCTAGAAGATTTTGATATTTCATTCCGACATATTTGGCATCTTTACCAAGTTCCTCTTTGATTCTCAATATTTGATTATATTTGCTCATTCTTTCACCGCTGCAATTATTACACATCGGTGTTAAATGGATATGATTTTTAAGTAAATCGTAATCCTCGTTGGAGAAAAAGCTCGAAATTTATAAAAAAAATTTTCAATGGTGAAATAAATTGGCATTCGATTTGAGATTGCAGATTCTGAAACTTGGAACATTATTCTCAATTTGAGTTGCATTTGCTCACGCTCTGTGTTACCTGCAAGGTGCTCCGGCTTTGAATTGGCCGGCGGAAAGTCCAACCGCCAAATCTGCGACGAAATTGTCTTCTGTCTCACCGTGACTCGCACTCACGATATAACTCCAATTGTTGACTATCGCCATTCTCGCGCAATTAATTACCTCTGTCACAGTGCCGATCTGCGATATTCTCAGAATGAGACAATTTGCTACATTCCTGCTCATTGTTTCTTCGATTCTCTCGATATTCATCGCGGTGAGATCATCGCTGACTACTTGAATCCCTTGATTAGCGATTGTTGACCAACCCTCCCAGTCCTCTTGATCGAAAGGATCTTCGATCGATACTATCGCTGGAAATTTCGAGAGATACTTTAGATATTGGTCCCGTAAAGCCGCGGTCTTCAAGTAATCAGCGGGATTGGAATCCTTCGTCTTGAACGCTAGGTCATATCTTCCTACGTGAATGTATAAACGCAGACTTTTTTTTTAGGACATGGTCGTGAGATAATTATGTATGGAAGCAACAAAATATTTTGAGTACAACGAAACCTTCTTTACAAAAAGCACTCGCTGCCGCGTCCAGCGCTATTTTAATTTTGCCTTCGTAACCCGCGTCTTTGATGGACGCGTCTAAAAAAGCCAATGCGGCTTCGTCGTTTTCCAAATCAGGAGCAAAGGCTCCATCGTCGCTAGTCAGAAGCGGACCTTGTATTTGTTTAGCGTTGATGATTTTTCTCTCTAACACTCGATACATTTCGGTCTTTTTTTGAATGTACTCTATAATCCAGCCGTACATAGGGGAATTTTTTCTTTCTCAGTTTCATTTAAAATTAAAATTTAATTTTTGCAAGCTTATTGAACTATCGATTGCGATACAATGCAAAGTGGAATCACAGGCGGAAAATGATATAAATCCAATCTTTTTTTCGATTTATGATTTTAGGAGCGAGACGCGATGCAGATGGATATCTATGGGTAACCGGCCGTATTGATGATATGTTGAACGTTTCCGGTCATCTAATGTCAACGGCTGAAGTGGAGAGTGTATTGGCGGAACATTCCTCGGTAACCGAGGCTGCGGTAGTCAGCAAATCGCATCCTGTTAAGGGTCAATGTCTATATTGTTTCATTACTCCGACCGTGGGGATGGCATTCGACGAAAAATTGCAGGTCGAGCTTAAAAAGAAAGGTGGGCTAATCATCAAGTCAATCAAATTAACTATTTAATACGCAATTAATATTATAATTAATGGGGATTTTCACATAATCAATTCATATGATTTGAGCAGTACGCGAAAGGATTGGTCCGTTTGCGCAACCAGACGTCATCCAGCATGCTCCGGCTTTACCGAAAACAAGATCCGGCAAGATTATGAGACGTATGTTGAGAAAAATCGCAGCGGGCGACAGGAATATTGGAGACACGTCAACGTTAGCTGACGAAACTGTTATTCAACTTCTATTTGAATTAAGGCCATGCGTTTAAGATACGTATTTCTTGCTTAGGAAATTGAAAGTAAAGTCTTGAATGAGAGAATTTTTCGCATCGATCATTTGGTGAATGTCGAAAACATAATCGCACGTTTTCCAAATAATTTTATAAAAATAAAAGTAATAGATTGCACATTGAAACAGATATATATATGTATTCGCACGATATCAGAGACACGTACTGTTCAAAATCTTAACGTATATTCAGTAATTAATTTGACAATTACGAAACGTACAAAATGTATAAAACGAAATATTATTGTCCTTTTGTCGATCGAATCAACCTGATATCGTCATTCAATTTTCAAGTGAGTCAAAATGAAAGTTATTCTTTGGATATGTCCTTTTTTTATTTTCTACAGTTCCTCTCGAGATTAAAAGAGACATATCGAAGGAATAGATTGTTGATATGATTAATTAATTGGTCATCCTCCTCAAGAGAGGAGTTGCTGTGACTGCGATACATATCTTACGTAGGCATCGCCAGTGATTGAGTAGCCTAAGCGTGCTTTTGTTTAAGGCCAAAATTAAGTTTGAAATTACGCAAGGGAGAAAACGCTCAATAAATTAATTGTAATAAACAGCACAATAGCAGAACGTTGAATTGGTTGCACAACAATTACTAACGAACTTATTTAATGGACGAATGTAGTACGTAGTTGGATGATGCGTACGCGTTATTATCAATGCATCATTACTGTAATATGAAAAAAAGAAATTTTGCTTTCTGCTATTTGATGTATGTGCGCGCGCGTGTATGCGTATGTACAGACACACACACGTGCGCGCACGCACGCACGCACGCACGTACGTACGCACACACATATTAAAATTGCTTGTGTATACATGTATATACACAGGGTAGCTCTCTCTAACACTTTTATCGTATTTTGTTTACCGTATTTAATAACATTCTTCGATGAGATTGGAACGAAGATGAATTGTCTTTTTCTCGGCTGTTTAAGAAATATGCGAAAAATTAAAAAAAAAAAGGATATATGAATGTGTGTACTTATAAATGAAAGTTACCTCGTGCTCCTTAATTCAGGAGTTACGCCAAATACATATCATTCCTTGTGGAACAAAACAAACTTTAGGTGTAATAAATTAAGTGTATATTAAATTATATATTATATATTGTATGTATTGTATGTAGATATGAAAAACACAAGAGAAAAAGAGAAAATATATGACCATATATAACTATATTCAGACATATAATATGTATAGTGTGTATGTATAATGTATATATATTATATTATAATATGTATGCGTATGATTACACACACACACACATATATCTATGTCATAATTACGATTGTTCTGTTAAATATTGAAGAGTATATTTTTTTCTCATATATCCTTCCTTTTCCATCGTTCTTTGTATCGTGTAAAAAAAAAAAGATTATATTTGAATTAACTAAATTGTTCCTATAATCTCTTATTCGTGCGTATATTAGTGCGAGGATTCGCCAAAGTTCGCGCGTTGAGTGGTGGAAGTTATCACGCGTTAGATTACGAACGTACGAAGCCATCTAACTAAAAGCCGAGTTTGACGCGTGCTCGATATTATTGACGGACGCGATATAACCTAGCTCTTTGGACGCGATTCAGCAGATCAGCTGAAATTCAGCTGACGCCTGACAGCTGATTCGCAGTGCGGTATATAACCTTACAAAAAGGTTGAAGGTGCTATAAATGCTATAATCCACCGGCCAGTGAAGTAAAACGAAAAAAAAGAAAGATTCAACTCATTTAGACGCGATTGTGTCGCCAGGAGTGTCGGTATCAATCAGTATCAGCGAATAATTAGCGGGTAGTCGGCAGTGATCAGTACTTAATAGCCAAGATAAGCCATGTCGAGTGTCGACGAGTATTACATTGAGATTTTGAGACTTGTGAAACAAGCCGGTTCGGTAAGTGTCGACGAAAAATTATGTATTCTCTGGTCGTGAAAACATGTATAAGCAGTGCCGATAAAATTTATCGAATATTAAAATATTTTTATTGCAAATAATCGTGTGCCATCGTATTCGTCAATATTCGATTCGCCTTGGATGTAAGCCAAGCGATTATCGATCGTCAAAGACTGATTATATAACTTAATTGATTAGTGACATCGCATTCGTATGCATGTATATGTACTCACACACAAGATTTTCTCAATTTTGATATATCTTTTAAAAATACCATGAAATCCGCAAGATCACTTATTGTCGTGGCGTGGCATAGACGAATATAAATGTTTACAAATGTGAGAGGTAAAGAAAGTGCGAGATAACAAGCTATATGCTTTTTCTTCCCATTGCGTTTTTTTTAATGGAAAAATGGTATATTTGTTTACAAATAATTTTAGTCGCCTAGCTTTGAAAAAATTATTAATTATTACTAGCATCCAGCACTTCCCCTCGATACTACTGTCTATAAAAAGATTTAATTATGCTTTATATGTTTTATCCGCAGATTATCAGAGAAAGAATTTATCAGCACAAAGATGTACATACAAAATCATGCGACGTTGACTTGGTTACGGAATGGGATCAAAAGGTAGAAAAGCTTTTAATCGGCGGAATATCATCCAAGTATCCCGACCACAGGTAAGCTATTGAATCAAACTTTTACTTCTGTTAATTGTTAATCGCGCTTAACTTATTGATTTTCATGTTTTCAATGACACTTAATTGTAGTATCCAGACTCACGTATGTCAACAAATAATACATCAATGTATTATCCTCCCACAGTTTTAATAATAAACTTTGTAATATTCTACATATGACATATTTTTGTGTATCAATAATAACTGCAAAATCTTGTGAAGTTGGCAATGATAATATAACAAAAATTCAATAATACGATAACATAAGAATATTTTATAATAAATATTTTACAATAGCAAAAATCTTGAAAATACCTTAAGAAAAAAGAAACAAATTAAATACAAATTAGAGACGTATGCAAATTTTGATATCTATTCTCTGTTCTAAAGTGAATATTATTTCATGGCAGGTTTATCGGCGAAGAAAGCACTGCCTCGGGAGAAAAAGTAGAATTAACGGATGCTCCAACGTGGATAATCGATCCTATCGACGGCACGATGAATTTCGTTCACGGTTTACCGCACACGTGCGTCTCGGTTGCGCTGCTTATTAATAAAATAGCAGAAATAGGAATAGTGTATAATCCGATCTTGGAACAACTTTTCACCGCTCGCAAAGGTCAGGGCGCTTTTCTCAATGGCGCCCCGATTCACGTATCCAACGAAAAGGGTACATCGTTTTTTATTTTTAAAAACTAAAGTACACTGATTATCCTTCCGGTAGATCTGTGTATATATAAACAGGCGTTTGTAATCGTTTAAAATACACGACGTTATTTATTAAAATCTTTTTGTTGTACTTTGATGAAATATAACGAAGATAATCATTAAAGATAATTTTCAAGCGAATAATAAATAAATAGGAATATATCTTACGGTACAATATTTACAATTAGCAAAGAAAGACATTCGAAAAATTAATGTATCAGAGATATTAATGTAAGTCAATTATATAATATTATTCATTGTTTGTTTGCTTCAAATTTTGAAAATCGTTTTTATGTCACCACAACTTTTTAAATTCTGATTATGATATATATATATATATTTTTTTTTTTTTCTAATATGTAGCTCAGACAGTTCTAATTATTTTGTAAAATTTAATTAACTGTTATTTCTCCAGAATTGCATAAGGCACTGGTAATGATGGAAATGGGAACTAGTAGAAATCCAGAAAAATTGAAAATAGTCTTGAAAAATATAACGCTTCTCATAACACATGTTCACGGGTAAGACATATTTACGAATATTACACTTTTGCATGAAAAATTTCACAAAAAGATTTATTTACTTATCCTACAGAATACGATCCCTTGGTTCGGCAGCTCTGAATATGTGCATGGTGGCTCTTGGTGGTGCTGACGTTTCTTTTGAATTTGGTATACATGCATGGGATATTGCAGCCGGAGATCTTATTGTTCGAGAAGCCGGCGGTGTATCGATAGATCCAGCTGGTAAACAATTGCAAATATTATGAGTCAAACAAAAGATACTGCATAAGATATCAAGATAACGTAGAACCAATTCGTTTTTTGTTTTTACGTTAAAAGGAGGTCCATTTGACGTGATGAGCAGAAGAACATTGTGCGCTTCATCGAAGGAGTTAGCTCAACAACTTTCCAAAATATTAATCCAGTATTATCCAGAGCGAGATTAAGCGAGCTCGAAAGTTTCATATGGAAGATGAAGAAAAATTATGATTTTTTCATGGATATCGCATTAAGCCATTAAAAATAATGCAAATATTATTGCCTAAAAGAAAAAAAAATGCAAATTCAAAATTCAAATCAGACTATAGAAAGTATTGTTGAGTAATTGTTATCCAGAAAATATCAATGAAATTATCTAAATAAAATATTTGTATGGTTAAGAAATAAATTGACAAGTTATTCACTTATGACATAAAATCAACTGTATACACATTATTTTTAAGTCTCAATGAGACTTAAAAATGATATTATTGTTCGCATTTTGTGATATAGCGCGCGCACGCGTATGTGTGTATGCGTATAACATATGTAATCATGTTATAATTTTTAAGAAAAAGTTCAGAAGAAAATATATTAATATATGATAAAATCATTGTTAATTTTTTATATTTTGAACATTTTTTTTGCAATAAATTGGTATATACACATTATGTATTTTACGCCATGAGTTTTGCATCCGAACAAAGATGTTCTAAAATCGAGGGAAAAACAATTTTATTATGAAAATATACTTATTACATGAAAGATTTTTGTTTTGAATATATTTTTATAAATTTATTAGATTTTATTCATTATTAAAATATGTCTATATATTTTTTTAGTACTTGTGAGAGAAAGAGAAAGAGATGGAAGGCGAAGAGGAGAGAAAAAGAAAGGAACAGAAAAAGAGCGAGAAAGTGTTTCGAAATTAATGTATTTATCGTATCTGCTTTTTCGTTTTCACAAAACGTGGGCTTTAAATATCTGAAAACTCAGAAAAAAACCGCAAATATTAGTATTATTTAAAGATTTAATACTTTTGTAGCTAAAAAACTAAATTTTTTCGATCAAAATAATTAAAAAAAAAAAAAGATATATAAGTGTGTCGTTTATATCTGTCATAAATATCGCTGGAATTTTCACAACCATGTACTTTACCTGTATACATACTTACAAGTCTTCGTTTGTAATCTCAAGTAACTTTAAGAGAAACCTTAGTGCGACATAAATCTAGTTAAATCGTTGCATAAACCTTGTTGAATTGTTTAGCGACAGCGCATGTACTTTTACGCAGTAGACACGACGTAGACGCAAGTACATCGCATTTTTCCTTTCCTCCTCATCAATTGTTTTCATCACCTCTTCCATTGCCTCCCCTCCTCACAGGGAGGGCTACAAGTGAAACATTACCAAATTGCAAATTAGAACGATACATATATTATATTCTCTCTGATCATATAGTTTCAATAGTATATTTTTACTTCCGCATTGAAACGTTCCCGAGAAACATATATATTTTCTTATTCTGTTTACGTCAGTTTAACTTTATCAATATTTTATTTACATTGTCTTTTCGTCGAAAATACTAAAACGCATGTATGTGCTGCGTTTTAGTATTGGCTATCGATTTATCACGTTTTAGTTTTCAACTTGCCTTTACAAAAGCAATTTTGCAAATGTTCAAACGTCATTACAATTATATATAAGAGACTTGGGAAACTCGATTAAAATTCTATTACATTTCCGAATAAAATTCTTATATTGTCATGAGAAAAGTTCATTAAACATTTTTAAAACTCGCTCTATTTTCGTACGGCTTATGATCTCATTATTAAACTGTATTGAACATGTACTGAAAAGTGGGTGTTCTAAGTATCCCAGGCAATCCCCCATGAATACCTTGTAACGGGATCGGCGCTAAAGGCCCTTGAAAGATCCGGCCGCACTTAACGATGATTTGAATCGAAGTCATCTGAAACATAAGCAGTCTCGTACAATCTTGTCACGTTTAAGAACGCCGTGAACCATTCACAACAGCATCATCGATATTCAGTTTTTTTTTTATTTCAAATAAATGATCAAATTTTCGAGTTTAGAGTTTGATTCTAACACAATAAGAGATGGTAGCAAATATAAGAAATGTAAGAAAGTCAGCAATCGAAGTGCCGCATTTGCAGTAATAAGACTCTTATTTAACACAGACTACAAGTAACATTTCAATAATTATCATTTCGCATATAATATCTTGATGACCTCCTTAAAATTTTGCATCGTAGTGCAAATATATATACATTTTCACCTCTTAGCATTATTATAAATGTTATTATAAATATTTGATTACATATGTCATTGTAGAAACATAAGATAAGCATTCTTTTTTATCGTTGTATATGTATGACTATGCATAATTTCTATGCATTTGTATTTGATAAACTATTTAAACATATGTGCTGACCGGTGTTTATAAAATGTGTCCCTGTATATATATGTGTATGTATAATATTTTATTTGTGTGTGTACACGGTCTCTATCTCTATTGTATTGTATTGTCGCTGTATAAAAAAATTCATTAAGTATGTCTAATCTGGAACGCTCTTTAAATTTCAAAGATAAAAATGAAGAAAAAAAAAATAGAGGCAGAGAAAACTAGAAAAAGAGAGAAAAATACGAATATTATAATAAATATTTGGACTGAATATATATTCAATCATGATTTAAGATTGAAAAGACAAAATACAGATCATTCTTCTCATTGTATTAAGCATGTGTCATTTTATTTCAATATAACTGACCTATTCGCTATACAATTTATCTTCCAATTAAAACAGGTTTTCTTGCCGCTAAGGCTCCTAATGCTGTATGTGCACGTATGCTCGCTGATGAGATACTTTAAAATGGATCGAACAATGTGTGATCCATAAAGGACTTACAGTTCTTTATATATACGAACCCCTTCTCGCTTCGTAGGAATACGTAACGTACAATTTCACATGAACGCACGATCTATAATGATTTTACTAATGGTGCTATTCATAAGGACATATCTTGCTCTCCAAATCAGGAGAAATGGTAAAAGGAAACTGGTGCCAGTTTATGCTGAAAGAGGCGGTCGTTGTTTTCTTATTCCCACTTTCTTTCCTAAATAACGTAACTTTATCGAGAAATCGATAAGTTCTCTAGTTTAATTAGGGAAATCGGCATCTATAACTCGAATTATATTTCCAGATATGCGTTACAATACGAACTAATCTATATTAGAAACACTATCTATGTATAATGACGAAATTTATTTATTTATTATTGTATTCACAATTATTATATCGAGTATAAAAATATTATACTCTGTCTATCTGACAATAATCACACGCAATTAAATAATACCTTTGGATTCATACAGTACTGCCCATAAAGTACGATTTTGTGCAACATTACAACTATATTTTTCCTCTGTTGCAAAATTCTCATATTATAATGAGATGATTTGGATAAATTTTTTTGCACCGCCTCTTCCTGCTAAATAAAAAAAAATAAAAGAAAAATACGGATATTCTATATGTAAAAACGTAGAACGAGAGTATTTGAGGTGGAGGAAGGAACGAGAATGAGAGAAAGAGATAGAGAAATAGAGAGACATACCGCGCTTCTATCAGATGACGTTTAACATTAATAGAAAGGATTGTTAACGATATCATTTTACAAAGTTACGTCAGTGAATTTTTCGAAGCTAAAGGACCCCAGACAGGGTTACCTATATTTTTTCTTGTATAAAGGGATGCGCCAGAGCGTGATTCACAGTGATTCTCTTCCCTGCGTCCAACATCAACGTTCGTTCCAGCAAATCCTTCAGTTGTCCGACTTTGCGATTTTGTTCCGGTGGTAAAGAGTTTCCACCGAGTTCGGCGCTGAGATCACGAGTCGCTGGTAACGTCGACATTACGACAACTTTTTCCTGGAAAGCAAAAGCTAATCAGCAAATACTGCACGACAAATATTTCCGTAAGTAACGCAAGAAACATTACGGTATGACGTTTGGCGTTATCAACCGATATGTCATATCTTTTTCTGTTTCCGCATTCCGCATAGAAGATAATGTTATAATTATAGTGCAGCGTTTTACACGACTCAAGGTTTTATCATGGAAAATAATAAAGTAAAGAGTCAACTCACCCGTTCCGTAACTTTATCAACTTCATGATATAGAAAATTGCAGTTGCTATCAAAATGCTGATCCTTGAATTGTCCCTTTCTAATTAATTTGTTTGGCATTTTACCCTTTAGATCCATAAAGTACTTTAACATTTGATTGTTTGTTTTTCCCGAGAACATTATTTTTCCCGTGTACAGCTCGTATATGGTGCATCCCACGGACCACATGTCAATACCAAAATCATGTGGTATACCAAGAACTAGAAAATAATGATGTTACTTTCGGATTCCAGACATTCTAGATACAATTTCTACCACTTTTTCAACGTCGAGAATGCTCGAACTGATTTGTAACACGTATTATATTTTTCCAATTTTCAGTGAAGTAATATGTATATCTATTATAAGCAATCAATTATCCGAGTTTTTTATTGTTAAATATTTGCAACTGCACATATGCGTACATAGACGAGAGTGCACTACATACGCAATGTTCGGTCGTATGGTCGTAACAATTTATTTCGGCGCAAAATGAAGAAGTCAGAGTTGCGAATACTCGCGAAGTTGTATGTGGTTTGCTAAAATCGCTTGTCAGATATTGCGATATATATATATATATATATCATTCTACTGATAATTTATATATATATATATATATATAGGATATATATATATATATATATATATATATATATATAAATCATCAGTAGGATACACAGTCGAACAATGCTAACGTGTATAAAATTTGTATCATTAATTAAAGAATGTTACATATTTGACATCTGTCTATTGTGATAATACGCAATGTTGCCTTTTCTGAATGGACATGGAACAAAATTCTTTTTAAAATAATATTAACATGAAAAAAAAAAAAAAGAATATACATATGTTATACGTACATTACGTACCATACACACACACATACACACGCGCGCACACACATACACACGCGCGCGCGCAAAGGAAAAAGAATGAATGATAACTAGGCGGATTTTGTAATAAAGTAGAATACTTACTAATTTCGGGCGCACGATAAAATCTCGAAACTAAATACGGTGTTATTTCATTTTCGTGATCGTGCGATGCAGAACCAAAATCACAAAGTTTCAGCACTAGTTTGCTTTCACTGACTAGAATATTATCCGGTTTGATGTCAGCATGCAGAATTTTCGCACGTTTTAATAACTTTAGTGCTAGAAAAAGTTGCTGCGTATACGACCTTACCGCTTTAACGTGCAAACCAACGTCTTTGCCATACTTTTTTAAAACCTGCGATTTCCCAATAAACATAGTTATTGTATTATTGTTTTAATCATGTCTAGATCATAGATTAGATATTTACAAATGAATGCTAATACGTACCTCTCTCAAATTCATGGCTAAAGGTTCAAAAACCATACACAAATGATTTTTATGAAAGAAATGCCTAAATAGACGCAAGCAATGAAATCTATCTTCCGGATCAGCGTCATTCAACTTTCTAAGAATTTCTAGCTCCTTTAAACCAGTTCTATGCCTATAAGAGTGAAAAAGGATATAACAACACTATATATTACAATCGATCAAAAATTAGAAATGTTATGCTCACATTATTTCATTGTTTCTTATAATCTTCACAGCTACGTCCAAATTTCCTCTAGCGCTGTCTCTCGCTCTTACAACGTTACTAAATACTCCTTGTCCTGTATATCCATAGACTACGTATCGAGCATCTAGCGTTTCTCCAACGCGCACTCTAAGAAACACAGATTACATTTATTACAGTTATTATCAAGCTGATCATAGGGTCTTAAATTAAAGCAATGACATTAAATAAAGAATATGTAACTAACCGATAATATCCTTCGGCGTCGTCCCAATTATCTGTCAAACTAGGATTGTCTGGTCCTCCTTGACGTTTTCCTTCAAGTGTGGGACTCTGGAAATAATAAGAAATCGAGCAAAAGATAAATATAAGAACCAGCAGTAAAAGAGGTAAAATGAAACGAGGTAATAAAGAGAAACGTCAAATATATAATATATAAAATAAAATAGCATACATTGAAATCTCCGATATTATCTGCTTCTGCAAACATGTCCCATTCATTCGATTTTTTTAAAGTTTGCTTTTCTTCCTGTTTAAACCTTTCAGACGTCTTGATGCTCCCAGTTTTATCAGGCTCATTAAGTGGCGCGTCCTCAAATCTGGACTTTCTCTTTTTAACTGGAGGCGGCGACTCTAATTTTTCTGTGGGCAGTGGTGGAGTATGGCTCTCCAAAACAGATTCATTGTTATTGGATTGTATCTCTACAGATTTTTGCGATATATTAGATTGGCTTTCTGGAGAACCAGTGACATTGATGTCGGCAGACATATTTGAATCTTCATTTGGTCCACTTAATCTCTATGAAAAGAAAAAGAAAAAATATTTCTATCGTGATCGTGGCAAGTTCAATAATCAAATGACATGTATATAATGTATACACATGTGATAATATTACTTACTTTGAGCAATTCTTCTCTTTGTTTTCGTCGACGTTCTATAATTGCTTCTTCATCTTCCTCTTCCTCTATATCGATATCCTTAATGTCCTCTTCGCTCGAGCTGTCTGAATGTTCTATTTTGAGACCTTCCGATAAGGAATCCTTATACTTATCGTTGCGCTCTCGCTTACTATTTCTCTCTCTATCCTTCTCGCGATCCCTAACATGATCTCTGAATTGTTTGTCTCGATCTCGGCGACTTCGAGAAGGAGATCTGGATCTTTTGTACCGATCGTTTCGTTCTCTTTCCAATCTGATTCGAGTAGGACTACGTGATCTTCTCGCGGTACTGCGAGACCGATCATCGATTCGATGGTCATGATACCGAATGTCTCGTCGATCGCGACTATCGTCATGCCGGTCTCTATTCCCATACCGATCTTTGCTATCCCTTTTGTCGCGATTAACATGTGGACGAGACTCTCTGCTCGGTAATCTATCACGACTGCGTCGATCGTGACCGATATGACGATCTCGGCTGTTTTGACGTTCGCGACTTCCCAACCTCCTGTTATCTAAACTTTTCGTCTCATTATTACGAGTTTTTGAACTATGACGGGTAGGCTGCTCTCGTTTTCGATTTTCTTCTCTATATACAAATAAATACATACATATAAATTGTTAATATAGGAAGTATATTTTTTAATAAATTATGTTGAATAATAAATGAGACAAGCAATGATAATAATAATAGTAATGTTTTCACCACTTACCGTTTGTCTGATTCTCTCTTTCGTATCTCGTCCCTTCTCAACAGATCTTTACGTCTCTGCTGATCATCATCGATTTTTCTGTTGGATTCATCTTTTCTCGTATCTTCTTTCTGTTTTTCGTTAGTTTTACGCGAAGATCTGTCATCTCTTCGAATCTCTTCTCTTTTCCCCTCTTCTCTAAGGCGGATTTTCTCGTCTCTTTTCCTGTCAAAATCTCTTCTCTTATCTTTGTGCTGTTCGCGAGTTTTTCTGTCTCTAGTCATATCAATTATAACACGTCTTTCGGTTTTTATCACTTTCTTACGTTCTCTACTGCATGATTTGCTTCTACCGCGTTTCTTCGGTGGAATACCATCAGTATCGCTATCATCTTCCACAAGTATCACATCAGGTGTTTCTGTCTTGTTTGTTTTTGCTTCTTCTTCCTCCTCTTGTTCTTCTTCCTCTTCTTGTAACTCTTTATCTTCACCCTTTTCGGATTCATCCGAGAGATATTGTACTAAACATGCTTGCAATCGTTCCTAAACATACAATGCAATTATAATAAATTGAAATACTTATGCAGAATGTCTCACGACCAAATGAATTAAATGCACATGCTGCGTGACACACATTAAAATTATAATATACTAACATTACAGATGTTTGCTTCGTGCGCGCTATTTAATATTTTTTACTTTTTACTATACTTATTATACTAGTAATCTCAATACACATAATGCATACAACTGTTAAAATATATAATGACAGCCGCTCACGAAGTAAGCTCAATAAAACAATCAATCAGTATCATGAGAAAGCAATAACATAAAATTTTTAAAAATGCAATCGAGAAATTGACTTTATATGCCTTTTTTTTAGATAGGATTAGTGAACATTAAGTCATATACACGACAATATGCTACAGCATATTTTACAGCAAAGGCAAGCATTTTTTAAATTTATTACAACTCGAAAAATAAAACATAAATAATTTATGTATATATCTTCTCTCGTTTTGGGCTTAGATTTATTCCCCATAATTACATATAATTAAGAAACTCCTCCATTTTATATCATATATATAAATATATACATATATAAAATGCATCCGGCATTATTTTAATTAATTATAAACATGTTTATCTACCTTTTGTTTCATTAATTCTTCAAGATCAATATCATCTTCTATGATTGTGCAATCCACTTCATCGGAGTCGAGATCAACCAATTTTTCATCTTCACTTTCTTCCGTGGAGGCAACTTCTAATATAGAAGTTTTTGTTTTTCCATTCATACCAATTTCCTTATGCACTACATTGGAGATTAATTTCTCTTCCACGGTACCGTTTTCCATATTTCTATCTCTCTTCGGTCTCTTGTGTTTCTTGTGTTTTCGTCTACAAAATAATTATAAATTTAATTGTGACCATTGCATCTATCGATTATTTAATTATATTACCTGTCTTGCTTATCCAATCGTTCATCGTCTCTTTCAAGTAATTTTTCCTTCTTATGCTTATGATGCTTGTGTTTTCTCTTCTTTTTCTTTCTCTGGTCAATCACTCCATCTGCATCAGAATCTAATCCTAAAGATTCTCGTTTACATTCGGAAGCCTCCAAATCTGACGTGCTGCAATTATACGTCGGATTGAATATCTTGGAGCATTTTTTTCGCGATGAAAAAAGAATGTTCATTCTTGTCCATTCACTTTTGCAACAAAACGAGGACAGATCCGTCCTTGTTAATAACGTAATATTAAATCGAGTTTTTGTACACAATACACTTACCCCATGATAGAGTTCAGTAAATAATTAATAGGGGAAACATAAAATCTCACTACGCACGACAATTCCAATGATCTAAATGATTAACAACGATCACAATCAGTACTGATTCGCAACGAATGCACGAATACACGAAACTCTCAGTGAGACGCCATTTTGCAAGTTCTATCGCTATCTACGAGTCGTTTTCATGCATATCGACAACATTATCGATTTACGAGTATCGAGTTTCTTCCTTCGACCTCTTAGCGCGACAGTACTAGAAGTCACTATAATCCAGTTACTTTTGAAACGCGTGACGCGCGCGTCAAAGTACGCGCCTGTTGAAGGGATCCTGTCGAAGTGGCCCTGATTTAATTAATCAAAAACGAAATAGATTAAAATTAAAATTATCTGAACCAGTAGAAAAAAAAATTGTAATTTTGCGATATATATAATATTATAGCATTATAAGTTATAAATTTGAACTTATTTATAATGCATTTATATAATAAAAAAATCACGATTTTAATAATGTACGTATTATTCAAAATTTATTTTATTTATGTCAATGGTCGATCGACACTGCAATTATCTTCGGGCTCTCCGGGCCCTTTGAAAGTCATGAAAATTTGCCCAGGACGATTAATCGTCCAGGGTCTTTAATAGTATCTCGTCGGTGCGATCATAGCCTCATCCATTTTCCGACATAAAATTATAACGTCGAAAATGGATGTGGTCGAAACGTAGCTCTCATTCCTGCCAGCTCTGATGAAACGGATACTCCAGTCTCCACGTCCCATTTATTTGTGGATGTAGCACAGACTCGAACCACATCCATTTTCAACGTTATGACTTTACCGACAACGAGCGCGAACGGAATGGACAAACTTCCGAGATCCGGCCAATCCGGAGTCGCATTCGTCACCGCTCAGGCGCTCACTTTGCCGCGCACCATTTCATGAAAATGTTCGCAGCGGCCGAATGACGGCTCGACTGCCGGAAAAAAGGCTTCTCTCTGGTGCCACCAATCGTCCCTAGAGTCCTAGATTATCAGAGAAGCGCGACCGGTGTTACGCGTCCTGATTGGACACG